CCATATACCTCTTCCATGGGTGGTAGCATGGAAGCCAGCCTAAATGGGGTTGGTTCGGCTGTTTCCGTTTGTTTCGACTCTTTTTCTGCAAAGCTGGCACTAAGTTCTTCATCGCTGGAGCTGTCTTCGCCCTCGCTGGAACTAGAGGAGTTGCTGTTGGTGGAACCGGTAGAACTTTGGCCAGTCATCGATGGATTTTGTCGACCCTTTCGCGATGGCTGTATCTGACGCTGGAAGGGACTGTAGTTAGTGCGGAATGTGGGCATGTATCGCGTGGCGAGTTGGCTGATCTCAAATTCAATGTGCTCGCTCAAATCCGTCCACTTAAAGGACTGGTGGTAATTCGAGAAGGCATCAATCATCTCTAAGCCATTGCTATGCACACGAAACAACTCCTTGACCAGCTTGTTGGTGTCGGCGCAGGGAAAGGGTAAGCACTCGCGCACCTTATGCCGCACCCAATCCGTGATAGGAGCTATCGAAGTGCTCGGCACAAAGGCATTGTGCATATCGTAATCCGTTTGAAGCTCCCAAATTGGTTGGTTTACTGTAAAAATAAAGCTTGTAAGTAAAATATTAGACTCAGGCGGTCTATTTCTTACGCTTGTTAAAACTCGGCTTGTAGAGGCCCAGAAACAAATTAATGCTCTGCTGCTTCTCCGTGTCGCTAAATGTATTACTGTAGTAGCGGCTTAGAGTCTGCATAACGTCATTGCCCTGAGAGGCCCAGGCGGCCGTTTTACGATAGGTCTTAATGCGATGCACTAGCTGTGATCCGCCATACTGCAGAGCCAAAGTATCACCGTGCTCTTCGTACAGATGCTCCAGCATAGTCACACAATCCGAATCAAACTCCAGTTTGGCTGATTTAACAAAACCCAGCCGCTCTAACTGATGCCCCAGAGCGCATTTTCCAATAGCAAACTGCGCCGAGTTGGTGCGATCCAAGCAATCTACGCAATTTGTACGCACAATGCCCGTCTGGAAACTGAGCTCACTGCCCCGATGAGCCTTATAAAACATGCCTGTCATCTGTATCATACTCGCCGCGTGCACGGCCAGTTGTTCCATGACATTGCCCCCGCTGATCCGGCTCTGACGTGCCATATCAAAGTGAATGTGCTTCATGCGATGCTGCGGCGGCAAGAACTGATTAAGATACTTAATGCTGTTTTGCAGTTCCTTGGAAATTATGGACTCGTGTTTCCGTCGCTCACGCTTCTTTACCAAATTCAGCATAATCAGCGGAGCACCATAGTGAAACAGAAGGCGTTCGAAATGCCGTGACGGAGTTTGAGCATAGGGATCACATATGTCTAGCTGTATGGGCGGCTTTGGCACCATCTTGCTAATGTCCTGGGACCAGTGCGACGGTATCGAACCGCGCATTTGCGTGAAAGCGCATAGTCGCTGCCCGTCGCTTACAATCTGTTCCGTTTCGACTTCATTAGCTACGTCGCCCTACAAGATAGGAATAGTTAGTTATACAGTGTATCTATATTTAATCTGAAAACATACACGAAAATTAGCGCCTCGTTTGAGAAACCGCGTGCCAGCAAAGCGTGTGCTGCGACGCGCTATTAGACAAACATTCACATGTCTGCCAAAGATGCTGATGCACGACTGGCTTACATAGCCATGTGTGACCTCCAACAGCCAGTCCTTAAGCATAATGACCTCCATAGGCTTCAGTAGATAAGCGTTCCACACAAAACGCTTGCGTGAATCGCTGCGAAAGGCATAGTCGACACGCTCGTGCGCCTGCGCGACATTGTTGGTAAGCGTATTCCAATCGGGCAGCGGCTCATCCCGCTCTAGATTCACCTTGGCACCCACATATCGTGGCGCCGACTCGTTGTACTGCAGCGTGCGAGTCAAGTCGTACGAGTAGGAAAAGTAAAAGTTGCTGCGTAAATCAATATTTTGGAACATCCTCTTGTAGCGCTCCTCATGCGGATGTGGAGGTCGCTGTGAGGTCACCTCATTGACGCGCACCATCACGGTATCTTTGATGGTATACACCAGATGCATGCCAATATGGGCGCAGCATTTTCGCTTGGTAACCAGTATAAGGTAATACCCCTCCAGGAAACGCACGAAACCCAACACACCGTAGGCGGAGGTTATTTTTGGCGATCCCGTTAATGAGGACACAAACCTGCGAATCTCCAAACTGTTCAACTCGTTCGCATTCTCCTCGATGATCAAGCGATTCAGCGCCAGCCGATCGATGGTGAGCAAGCGAAATCTTGTCTCGCGATTGTTGCTGCCCACCAAGTACAGGCGCTAAAGGGACGAAAACAATAGAATTAATGTGCTTTGTTGAGTGCGAACAACTTACCGATCGTGTTTCATAAAGTACCACTTTTTGTATGGAACTAATTAGTGGATTAAATATTATATTTGGATTATCATTATTCATTTTAACGCAAAGTCATCGCAGCCTCTAATAAAATGATAAGTTATCGAAACATCAAGATATCGATAGCGAAAATAAATTATAGCACTACTAGCAAGCCACAGCAACTAATTTATGCACTAATTATATAAAATAATAATGAAAAAACGAATTTCTAGCTTTAATTTCCCGAATTTTTCACAATGGCGCCAAAAAATGGCAGTCAATCAATGTACCGATACCTTACATTGGTTGTGCGTGTCGGTATTTAAATACCGCCCATTGCACTCTGAAGCCAGAGTTGCCACACACTGTATAGTGCATCACACAGCTGACAAGAGTTTTTCCTTTTTTCCAATAGAGTAACACTTGCCCTTTTTGTATACTGTTGTTTTGTTTAGTCTAGTCGATATTTTCAATATTTATAAATATCAAAGACTATGACGACGTGGGGAAATATTTGCCGCATATGTAGCAGTCCCGCAGACTACAATATCTTTGCCAAAATACCCACATATTTGCACGGCTCGACTAACGAGTTTCTGAATTATCAGAAGCCAATTAACGTATTGCTTGAAGAGACATCCGGACTGAAAGTAAATATCTCTTGCTAATTTTTGTGTCAGCTTAGAAGTTTATTTGTTTTTTTTTTCATTTGACTCTATAGAACTCTCCAGATGATGGACTGCCATCGTTTATATGTGCACTCTGCATATCGTATTTAAAACACGCTGTAACATTCCGCGAACAGTGCATTAAAAACGCACTTAGCCTTAAGCTGATCGAGCTATATCAACAGAAGTCTGTCAAAAATAAGGGTGACAAGGAGAGTGCACTCTTTACTGCAGAGCAGCTGAGCTATGTGGAGCAACGACCGGTGCACAATCTCCTGCTTAACAACAACAGCGCCAAGCTGGAAAGAACGGACAAGGTGCACAAACAACTGCTTAATCAGACTGTGCCCCAACAATGCGGCAACAACGAACGACGCATACGCTACTTGAACGATTTATTCGACAAGCATCGAAATGCTACACAGGTAGGCAGGTCAACCTTATTGTTTAAGCAACAAAGTAACATGTCATCGACAGGCAACAGTGGAGCTGCCATCGACCAGCGCTGGCAGCGGCAGCGGAAATGGCGAGGAAGAAGACTATGCAGCCATCACCTCTAGCGATGACAATGAGGAGAATGCGCTGTCACGGAAGCACAAGAATTGCTATAATTACAGCGAAACGAATTTCGAGGAGGATGATCCCATGGAGCAGGCTCAGCTGAGGGACATCAAAGTCAATATACCCGAACCTATGTGGAAGGAGCGCAAGTGCCCGGCCTGCTCTAAGCGCTATATGCACGAAGACTCACACCAATTGCATCTTGACAATTGCGTGGAATTTCAGTTCATCAGCTTCGTTTCGGAGGTCAACAAACTGCTCGAGATAAAGCGTCAAAAGATGGTCTCACCACACGAGTTCATTAGACGCATGATATTTGCTCTACACAAAACCTGCACCTGGTTGCAGGAGCACTCGATCGACACCGATCTGGCCGATAAACTAAATCAGAGTAAAATAACTAATGGCAGCAGTGAGAAAATTGAGAAAAGTGAGCCAGCTCAAGAGGCCGCACCGAAGTGTTCGACCGGCTGGGATAGTTTTCCATCACCATCAAATGATGATGCACTCTTTAGCAACTCCTTGCTGAAATTTAAGAGCGGCACCAACACCCCAATAACGGCTGAGAACAATGTACTGTATGCTATTGAGCGCTCCGAGAGTCGCAACTCACAAAATACGCCCAATCTAGTGGTAAAGAAGCCCATACCTATTAGATGCAAAGGCCCGGCATCTGTTGCTGCAGCGACTGCACCCATGCATGAGGAGCGTGCACGTGCCACATTTCTAGAGAAACTGCAGCGAGCCACTGTCACGCCACAGCAGCAGTCGCCAGTGCCAGCAACGCCCACAAGTGCAACGTTGATGCCTTTCTCGGCAGCGCGCTGCAGCCAATGCAACTTGGTATTCGAATCCGTTAGCGAACTGGAGATTCATAATGTCATGCATCATAATGGACAGTGCAATGTTGGCAATGCTAAGGACGAAGACGCACAAAGGCGTCGCATAATTGCTCTATTCGAAGATGATATTTAATTTATTTTAGCTTAGTTTCATTTTATTCTGTAACATATTTAAGTCTGAATCATTTCCTTACAATTTATTGTATTCATCTTGTGCATTGTTTTCTTTTATACATTTTTAGTTTTTATTTTTATACTGTGGCAACTGACTGTCCCTTTGTATGTACATCAACATTGAATGTTTTCACCTGCATCCCTAAGGAAACTTAAAAGTATTTATAAAACATTTCTATATTTATAAAAACCATAAGATGCCGAATAAACAAGCCATTTCAGGGCTATATATCCTTCTAAAGACTAAACAAATTCACCCTCTGCTTATTTCTCAATATTTTTAAAACTTTGTTTTCTCGTAAATTAATCTAAGCACTTTGTGCAGCGCCTATAAAAAGTTTCAAGACGATAGCTTTATCGGGTCGGAGATGTCTCCATAGTTTACTCAAAGGGTATTAAAACAATCGGATATAACTTTTGACTCATTCCATCTTGCTTCTATAATAACATAGAGATAATCTTCAAAGGTGTTTATGGTTAATATGTAACAGGAAACTTCAAAAAATATGTTTTAATGCTTAACCGAAATGTGAAAATATTTGAACTATACCTGGCTAAGCATAGACTCGGAGGTGTTCCAACACGAGCTCGTTGTCCAGCAGCTGCGCATCCATTAGATTCTTCAACAGCTGCATCAAATCCATAGTTAGACTTGTATCACGTAGGGCAAATAGTTGATTTAAAACGTTCACAAGCTGCTCCAGCTGCAATTCCAATTGGCCAACGGATGGGCGAGCAGCAAACATGTTGGCTAGCACGCGCACTCCGTAGACGGTGCGTAGCTTGTCGGCGGAAGTGTTAAAACCAATATTCAGATTGGCCATAAAAAAGTCGTACAAATGCTGAAAATGTTGCGCACATAAATCCCGCTCTTTGCTAACAATTTCCAATTGAAATACAATGTACATGTAATATTCGGCAGCCGGTTCCGCTGGCTGCTTCTTGTGCAGATTCTCGGCAATGTGCCGGCGATCATCGACGCTTATGGAGGAAGCTGCATGAGTTGCTATCAAATACAAGCAAATGCCAGCATCTTCCTGGTAGCCCCGTAGATCGTCTGACGGTAACGTATAAATTTTCCACAATTTGGTCGCCAATTGCATCTGCAGCAACATGTTAGCGGACTTGCGGCATGTGGCCAAAATGTTGCCCAATGTCCAAAGGCAACTGCGCTTCAGTCGCGGCTCCTGACTATTCAAAAGCGTAACTAGGTAGCTGCCAGCCAGCGCTGTTATTTTCTCACAAACATGCGCTTCTCCCAGTGAAAAGTTGCACAAGCATTCGGCAGCCTCAATCTGACGCTGCATATGGGTACCTGTCCAGGACACAAAATTGAGAAATGTGCAAATTAATTGGGTTCCGTTTAGCTACCTGTCAGTTCCTTGACAATCACTTGAGTTGCGCCCTGAACTTCAGCAAAGGCGTTGATGTTTGCGTTGCCCTGCAAAAAGGCGTGGCTCAGGCGGTACATGTCCTCCTCGGTTGCGTGTTTGCGTCGCTTAATACGACTGGCCATGCCCTGCACATCTTTGATGCCCAGATTTTCCAATTCGCTTATTTTATCCTTGATTTGGCCCAAACCGAAGCGCAGTGCATCCGTTGTATCCATACGTAAGTCTTTGCGTTGTTGTCGAGCATACTCCCGTGTCCTAAGTCGCAGGGCAGTGTCATTCACCTGTCCAGGTGGCTCAGAAGTTGTTGCAGTTAGCTCCATTATTTAAAATAAACTAAGCCGGCAAATTCACATTTATTTATACCGCCAGCTGTTGCTGGACAATTATTCCATGCGCGTGAATAGAGAAACACTGGCAACTGTTTCTGTTGTTCTGTGGTATTTACATATGTTATTTACGATAACATTGTAAAAATGGTATTTTTCAATTAACAAATATTTTTGTGATTGTCGTATGCGGTCACACTGCTACTCAGTTGCATAAACAGTCGAACAAAACGCCAAACAAATAAAATGTCGTTCAATATAATGCAAAAGCTCTCCTTACAATGCCTTAAGGCTGATCAGCCGCTCATGAGTAAGTAGCTGTCAATCCCATGCAAAATAAATTCCTTAACACCTGTTCATACTCGTGCAGCAACAATACGAAACGCCAGCAAGAAAACCGGCGGCAGCACACGCAACAAGAAGGGCCATCCGCGCCCAAAACATCGTGGATGGCGAGTGCTTGATGGGCACTATGTTTCCCAAGGAACCATATTGGCAACACAGTTAACGACGCGCTTCCATCCCGGCCTGAATGTGAGTTAATGCCGAGTATGTTGAAAATGTTTTATGCCCGAAATCGTTCTATAGGTTGGCTTCGGTCGCAACGGCACATTGTTCGCCATGGAACACGGCAGGGTTATTGTTAGCTGCGAGCCCATCGAACCAAACTGGGACCACACCTGGGTCCAACGCAACTATGCCGGTCGACAAGATCAAACTATCTATAAGAAATTTTTCAATGTTATTCCCGAGAAGCAGCACCAGAGGTTTCGCCTCGTTGAGGAAATTTGAATTGTTTTAGATAAAAAAATAAAAACAAAAACAAAAGCTGTTATCGTATGCATATTTTACTAACAATAATACTAACTTATTAAAATCCCACAGGCTATCGAACTTTTTTGAATCACAATCCATCCATCCACATTGCGGTATTTGCGTCACGCAGTGCTGCAAAAGACGCAACCACTTTTCGATAGCAAATATTCATATCTATCGGTATTACAAATGTCCTCTATTTACCGAACGCTTTTTTCTGTGGTTCAACTCTAATGAATTTGCTAAACGCATTTTTGTCGCTTAAGTGATTATATTTTTGGCTTGCAAACTGCAAACGCTTTTACAATTTATTACAAAATCCATTAACAAATGCGACGGGCTTTGTTGTAAGCGCAGAGAAGCCCTAGACAACGCTGACCAAGAATTGACGCTGGCCAAAAAGACGCACCAGAGATTTCGAAATCGTTTATCGTATCATTGAAAGGACTTGAGGGGCAAGTATAAAATCAGTCGAGGCGCAATTGTGGGCGCTGCCTGAAAATGACGAAACGACTTTCAAGGGATGATGTGAAAAGAAATAAAAGATGGAGCGCTGAAGAGGTGGATAAGATTTTTCAATTCATTCGCAAGAATCCGTTCGAATTACCCACAGGCACAATGTATTATAAGAAGATGACACAAGATCTTAAACTCAATTCCAATCATACTGTGGTGCGCTGCAAAGTTAACAACCTGATCGCATCGTACAAGAGAGCGAAAGCTTTGATAGCCACCAATAAACAGTTTCCCATGGCGGAAGTCTTGAAAGCCTGCCCCTACTACAGGCAGCTGCATGAACTGTTCAAGAAATCCCTGCCGGGCCGGAGGAACACAATATGTGCAGGGGGCCGAATATCTGCACTACATCCAAAGCTGGATGGCGACGGAGCGGCAACGGACGTTGACGAAAGCATCGCGGACTGTTGGACAAGTTCCCCAAGATTTATGGTGCAACTGCCCGCCCCAGCAAATGCTGATGCTGCTCTCGGCAATCTGGTTGGACCGGCTTGTGTCAAAAAGGAACATGTCCCCAGCTCGCCGGCGCTTTCTAAGCCAACGGAAATTGCATTGAGCAGCAATCAAGCACAGAGCGAGCAAATTGCTCCACCACAGATAGACGAACCAATGCTAACTGAGTCCACGATCTTGCCACAAGAAGCAACAACAAGCGAGCATTCCGCCGAACAAGAGAACACACAAGCTCGACTCGATATAAGTAACACGTGTGCCGACTGCATCATTAGAGAGATTACAGAGATTGATGTTTCCTCAACTGCTGCCCTATCAACCGAGACTGAATCCCAGGATGAGCCCATGGTGCTCGCAAATCCCAGCATAACTGTTCAGCAAGGAACCGTTCCCACCGAGACTGACTTCAGACTGATGGAGCTTCGTTTGCGGGAAAAGGAGCTGGACATTAAAATGTTGGACATAAAGGCAAACGAGCGATTGGAGCGTCTTAAACTGGAATCGAAGGAACGCATTGTCATGCGAAAACTTGATCTAAAATATGCCAAGAAATAGAAAACTTATTCCAGCGATTCTTTTTGTTTTTTGTGTTTAATAACTTATACCTAATATTATTTAGTCCCGCGTTATAAGTTACTTACTATGATTAACAAATATTTTTGTTTACTCAATTTTAAATTTAAGTTATTCGAATAGTTCCAAAACGAAATCATTTCAACATGTTTTCCGATTTAATACTTTTTGACTGATTTGTAGAACAATTATGTTCAATCAAAATATAATTTTTTTTTTTATTTAGCATTACACACAATACAGCAATTTGTACAATAAACGAGCATTCGGGCACCAAAATTCTTGTAATTTTGTTTTTTTTTTTTTTGGCTACATTGTCGCACAAATATTTGTCATATCGCAAAAATAAATGGTTTGACAAAACATTTAATTAAACAGTTTAAAGATTACAGAAGAATAACAGTGTCGTTACAGTGTTGTTTAACATTATCTGAGTTATTTCAATCAGAATGTGTCGATAAGTTTTTACATTTTGGTCTAGCCCAATATATCGATAGTGCCATCGGCTTGACAGTTCTATTGCCGCCTGCCGCACACGTGTTTTGCATCGCAGCACATTGCTCGTTTTATTTTCTTTGAGAAAATATTTAAATAGTTCAACGAAAAGAAAATAGAATGGCCGCAGTTGCAGAAACACCAAACGCTGAGGTGAGCGCTGAAGTGAAGGAGGCTGAAAAGGTTGAAGATGTAGTTGAGTCGGAAGCCGACAAAAACGGAGATGTAAAGAAAGAGGAACCGGCGGCTGCCGCTGCTGAAGAATACAGTAAGCAAGAGCGCGCAATCATTCGGCAAGTTGAATACTACTTTGGCGATGCTAATCTGCATCGAGACAAATTCCTCAGCGAGCAGATATCGAAGAACGAGGGCGGCTGGGTGCCGCTTTCAGTGCTGGTCACATTCAAACGTTTGGCATCGCTTACCACAGACTTCGATGAGATTGTTAATGCGCTGAACAAATCTGACGAGGGCCTGGTGGAGATCAGCGAGGATAAACAGAGCTTGCGCCGTCATCCCGAGCGACCCGTGCCGGAACACAATGAAGAGCGGCGCAAGGAGATTCAGGAACGCACCGTTTACGCTAAGGGCTTCCCATTGGACTCCCAAATGACTGAAATACTTGATTTTGTCAGCGCCTACGAAAAGGTGGTAAATGTGACAATGCGCAAACATTACGACAAGCCCACAAAGTCGTACAAGTTCAAGGGCAGTATCTTTGTCACCTTCGAAAAGAAGGAGCAAGCCAAAGAGTTTTTCGATAAGGAGAAGATCGTTTACAAGGAGCGTGAGCTGCTGCGCAAGTGGCAGATTGAATATTTAAAGGAGAAGCAGGAGGAATATCAAAAAAAGAACGAGAAACGCAAGAACAAGAAGGAGGCCAAGCCTGAACCCGAAATTGAACTGCCCAAAAACGCGATCGTTGTCTTTGAGGGTGCCCCAGACACTGTCACACGCGAGGAGATACGCGAAGCCTTTGAGAAAGTCAAGGACTTTGATATTGCCTACATTGAGTTCAACAAGGGCGATACCAAGGGCTCCGTACGTCTCACAGAGGCGGATGCGGCCGAGAAATACATTGCCAAAGTGGACGATGCCAAGGTGACATCTCCATATGACACTAGTTCTCGTTTCTAAAACTAAAATATTGTTTTTTTTTTTGTTGTGTCCACCTTACAGCTCAAGTTTAACGATGAAGTCTCCCTCACACTGCGCAAGGCTACCGAGGATGAGGAAAAAGAGTTCTTGGACAAGGCTATCGAATTCATGAAGAAGCGTCGCGACTTCACACGTGGCAAGAACAACAAGCGCTTCGGCCGCAAGCGTCACGGCGGCAACGACAACAGGAACAACAACAAGAAGCAGCGCTCAGAGTAGCGACACACTCAAGTGCTGTGCTAGACTCCAGATGCAGATGAAAATGTTAGTTCTAGTTGTTAGCTTTAAGCAACCATTTTGTGACATCCAATTGCTACTATTACTAGTTTTCCAATAACATTAGGCATATGTAAGTCTGAGATCCGAATATCTGAGAAATATGTACAGTTTACATAATATGAGAGGAACTCTAATTTATTTTTATTACTGAACATGTTTTGTTTTTTTCTTTGCTCAAAAAAACATTAAAATAAATATCAGTTTGTAATCTATCTTGTATATACTTGTTGTTGTCTGTTGCTTGGCTTAAAACAAAATTAGCAGAGACTCAAGGAAGTGACTGCGGGGATAAATGCTGATCGAATCAGTTGATTGCTTTTACTTTGCTTTAAGCTTTTCAAATGACGTCGATTTAATTGAATGAAAGAGAATTCATTTATTTTTTAGTAGTTTTTATTTTTATTGCTGGTTTGTGTATTTTCGTTCTTTTCTTGTGTATGTGTATGTGTGTGTGTGTGTGTTTGTTAAATGATAGCAATATCAATATACATAAATATGATTCAACTTAAAAACAATAAAAAATTAATATAAACTTCATAAATTACAATTATTAAATGCATTTACAAATTACGATACGCAAAAAAAAAGAAACATAAAATTTTCAAAATTTGTTTTTCTTTCTCTTGTAGTTAAACTATTATCTAATTGCAATTAGGTGTAAAATTATATTTAGCTTTAAACAACTAGTCACAATTTAAATTTATTAATAGGTTTATATATAGAATATGAGAATAGCGAAAGTCAGCTTGAAAGGAGGTTGTGGGTACTTAAATGAAAAACAAAACGAATATTTTCTTCTTTTCCAACAGGGAAATCAAACAAAATGGATCTGTGCAAGCAGATAATTTACAACAATAGTTCCTTAACTTTGTCTATAATCAACTTAAGGATTCAATCGTTAAGGCTCATGCGCAATCGAAGGCATAAGCTATAGAGTGCTTTGGATTTGATAATAATGATAACCTATATATACTTGAATGTGGTTTAGTAAATTGTTATATATATATATATCGTATTGTTCGGCTGTTTTGTTAGGGTCTGTGCATTTGTCATATGTAGATACGAGTTATACGAGACTTAATCAACATTTATACATAAATTAAACAATTACAAACAACGTCATCGTATCGCATATCGCACGTTTTCCATTTTCTTTATCTATATGTGTATATATATATATATATGTATGTATGTATATGTTTATGTAGTATCTGTAGAGTATCTACGAGTATGTGTGTGTGTGTGTGTGTGTGTGTGTATGGTGGGGTGCGCGCTCAAGCTATTTCCTAGTCGGAAGAAGAAATATACAGCGTTGCCTTCCGTTTTTGCTAGGGATTCTTGTTTACTTATTACTAGGCTAACACGATCTAACGATTTACAACGATATCCAGGCGCTGGCTTCAACTCAAACTCTCTGCTTGTCTTCCTCTCCATCTTATGTATACAACAGTCCATCCAAAATATGCATGTGTATATTTATATAGCTATATATAATATGTGTTATGTAGTTAATAGTGCGCTGTAGGCTGCCTTAATCTGGTTAACGAGTTTTATTTCCAGACAGGCGTCAGATCCAGCGTGAGATTCTGTATCGTCCGATTGCGCGCCGAGCTGCGCTTTTGCTTAACGGAGCTGGTGATCTCATTGACCAGGCCCTGGCAATCGTTGCAAACGGTCACCTGCTCGCCGCGCAGATTCTCCTTCTGGTCCTGTTGCGTCTGCGCCAAATGGCTGCCCGAGGAGAAGAGCGCAAAGCCGCGCGAGAAGCGGGATCTGTTGGGAGAGCGAAAGAGAGAAAAGCATAAGCTACTGTCCTGGTTGTATTGGTACGCAGCAGCAATACTTACTTGCGCTCCAGTGTGCTGCTGTTGGACAGCGGCCGATGGGCCGGACTGTGCACGGGCAGACTGCGCGGTCCCTCCATGCTGCGGGACATGGCGTTGTTGTAGTGCTGCTGCTTTTGCTGGTACTGATGCACGCCCGACGGCCGCATGGCCCCGGAATAGGAGGCGGACATGGATGCCTGATCGTGCAACGCCTCTACGGCCTGGCCAGTGGCAGCGGCTGCGGCAGAGCCTGGGCCAACACTAATGCCCGGCGTGCTCATGTTTGATCTTTGGTGCTTGGGCGATGAGGGTGCACTTCCCACCGTGCTGCGAGTCTGCGAATGGTCAATGAAATAGCTAATTATGAATGTTCAGTTCCTTTTGAAGTGCTCCTGGACTCACCTTGCGATCTGACTCGGAACGCAGGAGGCGCTCGATCAGCGATTTGGGAAACTGATCGTCCATGATGTTGCCCGTCGATGAGGAGTGCGCGTGGTGGGCAGCGTGATGCGATGGCGATGGCGTGCTCGAGCTGGCCGGGCTGGACAGCAGCGAGGGTGAGATCAGCACCAGCGGCACATTACGAAAATGCTCCGAGGGTATGCGCATCTTGGTATAGCACTTGGCGCAGACGGTGCGCTGGCACAGCTTGCACTGGATGCCCCATGGCCCGAAGAAGGAGAAGCGCGTGCGCAGGCAGAGAAAGCAGACACGACGCTTTTCAACATCCTCCTTGACGCGCACATCCATGGGCAGGCCCTCCAGCTCAGCTTTGGTCATGACGGAACGTATGTGAACGATCTCAGCCAGCGTGACAGACAGCCGATCATCACCACGTTCCATCCAGGTCTGTTTGTCCATAAAGGACTTGTTCCATGGGCCAAGCGAGGATGTTGAACGCGACGCAGTCTCATCAGCTCCAGTTCCAGACGTTCCACGTGCCTGCTGCTGCTGCTGCTGTTGCTGCTGTTGCTCCAGCGACTGTGGCGCTTCAGGTGTCTTCTTCAAAGGCTGTGCAAGCAGAGAAGGTCAAATAAGTTTAATGGATGCGTCATAAGATTAATTACAACTAGGTCCTACTCAACTCACCTCTTTCGAGGAGCTGCTGACGTCATCCGACTGACGCGACTCGGGACGCGTGGGCGGCATCGAGTGCGTCTCGTCCAGGTTGCTTTGGCAGCCAACGATGGTGTGACGGCGGGCGGAGGCGCGTCGCGACTCGCTCTGCGTAGCCAGGTCATAGGCTGTGGAAAGCAGAGAGAAAGAGAAGAAGGCGGCGGTTGGCCATTAGTTGGGATGCGCCATTCCATGGAAGGTCGGTCAACATTGCGTATGCGTTATATAGTATGTGTGTCTCGATGTGTATAATAATAGTGGAGCAAACGATAGCGAAAACAAGAACAAGGCATTCATAAAGTCGTACAGCAAGCAGCGGGCAGTGTGGACAGGTGACAGGTGACAGGTGCGAAGGGGAGCGTCACATGTGTGTGAAGTGTATGTATATGTGTATGTATTTGATGTTTGTGTGGAGACAAAAGACAAAAGAAACTAATTGAAATTCAATTGAAAATCAACTCAAGCTACCTGAGAAATGGAAGAATGGAACCAATTAAAATCATCAACAACAACAAATAACCTTAGTTACACGTTCGCTTAATTGAATTTTAAATAGTTTCTTAAAAGTTGAAGTTCGAATAAAATGTTATTGTTGATTCAGAGGATACTAAATACTTCAGCAATCTATGAAAAATAGGTTGAATATCTTTCAACTGCAATATGGAGCTTCACAATGAAATTTAATTTATATTATAAAGTTATCGATATCGATAACAATTAAACTCTGCTTAACACCTAAATTCAGTCGCTTTGCTGCCCCCCCGGGCTGATGCATGAATGTTTCAACGAAGACGAGATGTCTACATCGATTTCGATTGCATTAATTTAATTAGTTATGCAGTTTGATGGTGTGGAATTTGATGTGTTATCGATTATGAAGCTGATGTTTGTTGTTATCGAGAGAAGAGAACTTAGCTTGATACAGTTAATAATGCAATTTCTGGATCTAACTATTTGTGTGATAAAATTAATGTTTTAACAATGAGCGATAAATGCAGTTTTGTTATCGTTTCAATTTTGAATGTATCGAATACGTGAGCGATTGCAAGCAGACAAGAAGCTAAGAACGAATCATATCTTCGAGTATTCTCGCATATTTACATTCCAAGGCATTGTTATTGTAGAATCTGCGATATTCGTCCTGCGGCTGCTGCTGTTGCGGCGCCTGATCCTCTGCCCAGCGCAAAAAAGTGTTGCATAGTTTAAGGCAGCGTGTGCAAAATTTTCATTTTGTTCGTAATTTTTTTTTTATATTTAAGCGTATTTTTTTTTTTAATTTTTCAAATTGAAAATTAAATATATATTAATGAAAAAATTTCATTTGAAAGCACATCAACCAAAATGTTAGTTTGCATATATAAAAATAATAAGTTTGTCATGCAACATTGTTTTTATAATATTTCCGTTTTTATTATGTTTTATACTTGTTTAAAGTTATCTTCTTTAAATTTGTTGTGTATTTGTTGTTATTACAAATATTTCGAGATTATTTCTTCCAGTTGTGTGTGTTCGTTTTTGTGTCTGTGTGTGTGTGTGTGTGCGTGTGTGTGTGCATATCCTTAACCGGCATCAATTGTCTTCAGCCTGCGCCCACACCAACTGCTCTCCAACCAACTATATATATTTCATCTTTATATATATATATATATATATATATATTATCAAGTCGGTTCCCATTTGTTCTTAGTGCGTTTGGCAAAATATAATACATTTGATTTTGTTAACAAAATCATAAAACATAATTCATAATTCATTAGCGGTAGTTGTTCGCATATCATAAAATAGGCCAGGTTTAAACAAACGATCAAATACCTTCGCAAAAGTAAAGTTTTTTTGTGTTTTGTTTCGTGGCAAGTGTGGAAAAAGTAAGAAATAAAATAAAAATAAAATTTTAAATAAAAACAAAACCGCGTCAATATATCAAAGCATAAATATCGTATGCAAGTAAACTGTCACACAAAGTACGAAGGAGCAGGATTAAATAAATTGAATTGGAATCAATTTATCGAAGAATAAACAAAAAATCTTGCTATCAAAAATAATATATCTCTATTTATTATTAATATAAAAAGAATTTTCATGCTAGTTCCAAATTTATTCAAATAAGAGATTCTCTATAAAAACGGACAAAGACAGAGTTCAACTATTTCCAATTCCAATAATTATTTGATTTTAAAGATACAATATATATATTTGTATATATATCATTGGTTTCATTTAATTAACTGTCGCCTTCAATCATCCATGGACAAATTGAAAAATGTCAGGTCTTAAAATGTTTAAAGCCCTTGTCAAGGCAATTCATTATGAACCATGAAAATGCGAATTACTTGCAATATTTATTTTAACATGCCTTCATCGTAATAATAATAAAATATGGTATTTAAAAATAGCTCATTGTGTAAAGTTTGCAGCCCGTTTTTGTGCTATTTATTCGCATGTCCAAATAGTGAGTTATTTATAAGAAGTATTTATTCCTATTTCAGTTAAGTCGCTTTCCTTCATTTTACCTATGACCAATTTTTGATCTGTAGTTAATCTGTTGTGGAAATAAGATTATCTGATGCTATAAACTTTCTATTTCTGAACTAGCTGAAACCTTTCATATAGCTTCTCATATAACAAAGCGGAGGGTTTTCTAGACTAAATCAAACTAGTTGATTTTTTAACTTGTTTCATCTGAAGCTGATTGTAACCCAAGTAAGCCAAGTATTTCCAGTTGAAATCCGATTGGGTTACAGAGAACTTGTTCCTTTATACTTTGTGCACATTTCGTAACAGCTGTTGTATATTCTATATAGATATATATATATATATATAGATATCGCTTGACATCGATACTCACTTGTGCGTCTCGGTCGCATCAGCAAGGCCGGCGACTCGTGCCTCATCTGACCGCCCAATATGTAGCCGCCAATGGGATATGGCGGCATTTTGGGCTGGGAATAACGATGCAGCTCGGCGAGATGTGCGGCGGCGGCTGCTGTGGAGGCATTGCCGCTGCTGATGCTGGAATCATCGAAGATTTGCTCGTCGTCCTGGCCAGATGAATATTTGTTGCATATTGAATAATCGAATGGTGTGGCATGTGGCACGGCCTGTCAACTAACTTACCTGCAACTTTGAGAAATCCACTTTGATGAGCCGCTGCCGGGAGCGTGACAGCGTCGCGTTTGTCGAATTTGGAAGCACTGCAAAAAAAAACAAAAGACGAAACGTAACTCTTAGATACAGAGCGAAAATGAAGTAGACTAAATTAATGCTATGGGAAAATGGATCTGTATGCTGCCTTCTCAATGTGTGTGTCTGTGTGTGTGTGTGTGTGTGTGTGTGTGACTGAGTGCACTCACAGCTGCTTTGATTAGATTACATGCTCGGTAAGTTGCACAAGCAGCGACTAACCTTCCCCCTCTTTGCCCCCAAAGGGGTCTAGAGCGTAACCAGCTCCATGGAATCGCCCCTCGCCCGGTAATTAGACAACGTCTTGAGCTTTGCTCTTTTACTTTGTCATCTTATTGTCGGTTTGTTTCTTTAGTTTTTTTTTTTTTTTTTCATTTATTTTTTAGTGTCTCGTCTGGGCATTCAACTAACCGTTAAGTCAACGCATTTAATGGTTCTACCCGTCAAGTTTTTTCTTCCGCTTGTGCAATGCTCGTAAAAGTGCTTGGGAAATTAACCCGAAGAGCATGTTTCAGCTTCATGTGTTATTTATTTAATTTACCACAAATTTCAAAGGCAAATATATTTCGTTTGTTTTTAGTTAAGTCCGTTTTTTAGCCATGCACAAATTTAGTTTCTAAACAGATTCCGCATAGTTTTCATTAGTTTCAGAAAAGTTGAAAGTGATTAAACATTTGCTATTAGACAATTAAAAATAAGTAAGAAGAAAATATGGTGCATTATTTTGAATCAAATTTAATGTATTATCAATGTTTATAGAAGTCAATTCTCAGTTTCAAAGTTCCTTTGATAAGGTTATAAAATGGACTTCGAAGCAATGCATGGGCCAAGGGTCATTCCTAGAAGAGTTTTAAAAGTAAATTAGCTTTGGCCTGCTTTCCATCTATTCCTTGATTAAATTTGCATTTTTGCTTAGTTTACCAAGCGCATTGAACGTAGCCTATTATTTTGGCCGCAACTGTATGTGCTTACAGAAATAGAGGGTAAATAGGGACTGTCATAATTTGAATACTGTAAAACAAATCTACCTTATTTTGAAGCTAACTAATTTGTATTTTCTTCTTCTCTTCCACTCTAGGCTCTTTCATTATACTCTGCTGTCCAGATTTCAGTTGGAATAAAGCCTGCGGCTTTGTTTTTGCGATATACTTGAGCAGAATGCTGCATGCAAAGTTCTTGCTCGAAGGACGGTACTGTTACTGCCCGCTACCCCCACCTCACACCCAACCCCACACCCAACCCAACCGAACCAACTGGCTCGAAATTGAAACCAGGTCAAAGCAAAAAAGTGGCATCGATAACGACTTGGCTGCTACCTTTTGATGTCCTGACAGCCTGACGGGGCTTTGGTGTTGGCGGATTGACAGCGGTTGCAGTGGCAACAGCACGCGGTGCAGCACGTGGCGTTGGCTGTGGTTGCGACTGCAACGGCGACTGCAACTGCAACGGCGACTGCAAGTGTGTGGCAGCAACTGTCTCGGTTTCCGTTTCGGGGCCGCAATAGAGCGACGCATCGCTGGCAACATCAACGACATCCGCGTTGCGTACGACGTGATGCGATCTGAACACTGCAGCGGCTGTTGAGCGCTTGGCACTGGGCGTCGTTTGTTGTTTGGCAGCCATTTGTGCGCAGCGAGCGATTTCGGTTGTTGGTTTTGGTTTTTGTTTTTGGCTAAGAAAGTTGGCTTAAACTTTGCATTGCATGTGAAGGAAATTGGCGCCCCGCCTGTCAGAGCTGTTGCTCTACTTTCAGGGCACTTCACTTCGCACAGCACGTTTGTTGTTTTCTCCTGATTTGTGTTTTCTTTATTTTTGTTTTTTTTTTTTTTTTTCACTCTTGCACGGTTGCATTCGGGCTATCGATCCGACAGGCAACCAACCAACCCCACTACCGTAGGGCTAACAGTTGTTGTCCCATTTTTTGGGGTGTGTGCGTGTGCGTGTTTTTGTGCTTGTGCTTGTCTAGTTAATTGACTGAGTGGCTGACTGTCTGACTGATAGTCGTTTGGCAGCGCGACGCGCGTAGTTAATACTTTTTGTTACAAGTAGTTTTCAATTAAACTGCTTAATCAGGTCGTTTTCATTTTCACCCGCGCCACGCGTCGCCTGCGGCCAGCCACAACAACACGTAGCGACACCGCCGAAGCTTAACACAAAACTGTCGACTCTGTCTCTCAGCAACGCATTTGCTTGAGCTCGAAAAGCTTTATACGTCAAGCGCATGCGTCGCGCAAAGAGAGTGGGCGACAGATTAAGAGACAGCGAGAGAGAGAGAGCGCGTACACTTTGTTTTGTTTTGACATTTAACATTTAACGCTGTTTGTCTTTGTTACGTCATTAATTTGGTGACGTCGCTTAAGGGAGCACGCAGAAAGAGAACACATTAAGGCTGAATGCGTAAAGCTGTGCGTTTGATTATTGCAAAAGTTTGAAGCTAACTAATGAAAGTGAATGGGCGGCGCTAGGGCACGTTACAGCTATTTTTAAACCGTTTTTAACGGTAATTGAAATTTGTATGAGCGATTTTAAGCTTTATTAACAGTGTTAGTAAGTGGCTCAAGTTTACTGTGGTTCAATGTTAATTGTTTTGTACACAGTCATAAAAAGGATACAGCTGTACAAAACAAGGTACTCAGCCACATAGTATGTCCTGATATGTAGGTGGATAAAGCACAGTGGTCATAATAATGAAGATCTAATATATTAGCCAGGCGGCAACAGAAAATAACCAAAAAAACGCTGCATGCTTTTAGGCTGATTCATAAACAGCGCCATTTTCTAGCCAGCTCAAAGGGGTATGCAACACTGGTTTTCAAAAATCTGACCAAACGCGCAACCGTCTTTCACTCGGCCTCTGTTGCACGATTGCAGCGATTGCAGCAGAGCCAAACAAACAAAAGTTCACTGCAGACAAACAAACATAGCGCCGGTGCCGCAGCCACAGGCGGAGTTGTTGTCATCATCATCTTCATCGTTGCCGTCGTTGTCGTCGTCTTTGAGGTTGTGTCGTGTTGCTGCTGCTGTTGTTGTTGCTGCAAGCGCTGCAACGTTGTCGCTATCTTTGTGTGTCACAATTTTGCACGCTTCCTTCAGCAGAGGCGATTGGAAAATGTTGCCGTTTTTGATCTATGCTGGCATGCGCATGCCAGCAACGGCAATTGGCCAAGCAAACACAAACATAGACAGACAGACAGACAGACAGACAGACAGACATAGTTACGAGTTAGACAGGGGCGGACAATGGGGCACCGACAAGTGCAGTGAAAACTTTTCGTGGCTAACAAGTTTTTCTCTTTTTTTTTCTTTTCTTTTGCCCAGAAGACAGGGACTGCAGCAGAGGAGCTGACAGGCGGCAGCATGTGTATGACAACAATTTATGAACGGTTTGGCGTTGAAAATTTTTGGAAAAGGTTGATGACAACACAAGTAGAAGGGGATTGACTCTGCCACACACCAAATATGCATAAGAGGCGGGTTTTTATCAAAAGACTCTTCTCTTTTTTGCTGTGCAAAGTTTGCTGGCACAAAAAAAAAGAAGTGTTTTGTGGCTAAGCAAATACTTGCTGACAGTCAAATATTTAATTTTCGATATCTTATCATTATCTTTGTAATTCAACAGTCCTCTTTTCTTCCGGATATTGAGTTATTTATATGTATACACTTTCATGCTGCATACCAATTGCAAATAAACGCCAACTGACTTAATTTTTGTCAAGAAAATTTAAGTTAATCAAATAATTGACTGTGAAGAGTATGTGCCACAGTGAACTCTGTTACAGGCTTTATTTATAATTGTTTTATTTCAATGGGAGTTTTCACTTACATTTTTCCTTAAGCGGTGGAGTCTCGGGCGGCGTTATTTGCTTAAGCTCCTTGCCCTGGCGTATGGACTCCATCAGCTGCTCCCGGGGCGAGGGCGTGCATTTCAATGGTGGGCCCAGTTGGCGTTCCGAGGCCTTTAAAGAAAACAATGAGGAGCATTTGTTGTAAACATTAATGAAAATCCATATGCCATTAATTGAATTGAGTAAACGAATGGGTTTATTTTAGCAAAATATATATATATATAGTGACATATCCATAGTCGCACCCACCCTTTAACATATCTTAGCACATAAGCATAAGCACAATTATAAACATTTCTAATATTGTAAACAAAGAGCCTGGTGATAACATCGACATTGGTCAAGATCAAACTGTCCCCCTTTGGTAGACATAAACAATTCACCCTAAATATCACGCCACTGTCAATGTTCCCATCAGAGTACTATCCCACGCATAATTGCTGACGCAGCTCAAACTTCACTCAATTTTGACTCAAACTCTCTCAAAGCGAAGTTTGCTAAGCGACCGCAACAGTTAGATAAATCAGTTCATATTCGGGAAGCAAATCTGAATGTACTCAACAAAAGTAGCCGTTAAGTGAAAATAATAAATTGAAATATATTTTTTTATAGTAACCTAACGTGTAAAACTTAATTGGCGCAGCCGGTAGGATACGTCGGGAAAAATTAAAGATCGCTAAAGGATAATTAATTCCCAGATCTAACGCACAATCGCGACCGAAAGTGTTGTCGGAGTGTAATAAAAATTTTCTCGAATACGTATCCGCACAAGAACCTTCGGGTCATTAGTAGCTTAATAATATTGACCCTTTGGGCAATAAAGCTACTACAGTTAATAACGACTGGCTTTGCATATCGTTTGATCCCTGCAATACGTTATTACTGAGTCTTTTTAAGACACACACACAAAAAAAAAAAAACATTTACACAATAATCCATCACAAACTTTAACTTAAAATAAAAGTGCAAAATCAAAGAACAATAAAGTTCAAACCTACAAACTCAAAACTATTCAAAAAAAAGTGTATTACACCAAGATGACAATGGAATTATCAGAACAACACCTCAACCAGGCCCTTTCACAACTTAGACAGGTGCCAAGCTTTGACGGATCAACGGATCAACTAAACGCCTTCATTAAAAGGATAGATTACATCCTACACCTGTATCCAACCCGAGATGTTAGACAACATAGCATCTTATACGGAGCCATCGAATTGCAAGTCACAGGAGATGCTCAGAGAATATCACAAAGGACAGCAGCCAACACTTGGCAGGAGCTGAGAAACGCATTGATTGAAGAATACAAAGTGCAGACACCATTTGAAGAACTCCTTCGACGCTTATACAACACGAATTACCAAGGAAACGTCCGTAAGTTCATCGAGGAGCTCGAGAATAAATCTTTTGTTATATTAAATAAGTTAGCACTAGAAAATATACCTAGCAATACAACCCTTTATACAAATGCTATGAATAACACAATCAAAGATGTTATTACAAAAAAATTACCAGATAGGCTTTTCATGATGTTAGCCAGACACGACATTACGTCGACACAAAAACTAAAGCAAGTAGCTCAAAGAGAGGGATTATATGAAAATAGTGTTACTGAAAAACCTAAAAATAATAATGTTCAGGGAAATCCAAATAACAATCGTAGGAACATGGGAAATTATCAGCAAAATGCTAACCCAACCACCATTTCAAGTGGCTATTCCAACACGAATCAGAGTTATCACGCACAAAATAAACAGCATAATAAGTCCGAAGACAATCAGAAAGCTCACCACGAGTTCCAACAGAAATTAAGTCAAGGTAGATACCAAAATCCCTTAAACTACCAAAATCAGTCCCATTCACGCTTGAATGCACCAAACCCTCCGACTAAACGTCAAAGAGATAGTAACAGTGGGCAGATGAAAATGGATACATCCGAAAATTTTCATCAGCAAGCCTCGGAACAAACAGAAGAAATCCATTCATAAAATTGATTATGAATGACGAAGTTCTAAAATGTGTCATCGACACAGGTTCAACCATAAATCTAATGAAAACAAACCGCTTAAATTTTCCAGTTTACAACGAAACATTAAAGGTTCACACCATAAATGGTGTTATTGAATTAAAACAAAGTATACGATTAGGAGCAAGCAAAATTTGTCCGAGCAAACAAAAATTCTATATTCACGACTTCTCAGAGCATTATGATGTTCTGATTGGGAGAGAATACCTTGAGGCATGTCAAGCAAAAATAGACTATGCACAAGGATCCGTAACCTTAGGAGAATTTAACTTTTGTTTTAGATATAACGACGAAGAGGTCGAAGAGGACATGACCGCACAAGAGTGCCTTGATCCACCCTCAACAGAGGACAGACCATTTAACTTCGCTATTAATAATGAATTAATAGAAAACAATGAGTTTAGGCTAGAGCACCTAAACTCAGAAGAAAAAGAAAAAATAAAAAAAGTTTTACATGAATTTCGTGATATCCAGTACCATGAAGGTGACAATTTGACTTTCACTAGTACAATTAAACACAAAATTCTAACAAAACATGAGGACCCAATTTACAAGCGTCCATACAAATATCCTCAAATATACGATGAGGAAGTAAATAAACAAATAAGCGATATGATAAAACAAAATATCATACGTAAATCCAAATCCCCTTACTGCTCACCAGTAATAATCGTTCCAAAGAAAAACGATGCATCTGGAAAGCAAAAGTTCCGGTTAGTCATAGATTACCGCAATCTCAATGAACTAACTATTAATGATAAATACCCTATCCCGATCATGGATGAAATATTAGACAAACTTGGAAAATGTCAATATTTCACAACCATTGATCTAGCCAAAGGCTTCCACCAAATCCAAATGGATCCTGGTTCAATACCCAAGACCGCATTTTCGACTAAACATGGCCATTACGAGTACACTCGCATGCCATTTGGTCTTAAGAATGCACCTGCAACGTTCCAACGTTGTATGAACAATCTCTTAGAAGATTTAATTTTTAAGGATTGTCTGGTCTACTTAGACGACATTATTATTTTTTCCACTTCATTGGAGGAACACATTTTGTCGCTACAAAAGGTATTTAAGAAGCTTAGAGAAGCTAACTTAAAACTACAGTTGGATAAATGCGAGTTTATGAGAAAAGAAACTGAATTTCTCGGTCACATAATCACAACTGAGGGTATAAAACCAAATCCCAACAAGATACAAGCAATTGTCAAATTCCCAATTCCAAAAACCCCAAAAGAAATTAAATCATTTCTAGGATTATGTGGTTTCTATAGGAAATTTATACCAAATTTCGCTAATATAGTAAAACCATTAACACTTAAATTAAAAAAGGGAGCAAAAATCAATATAAAAGACAGAGACTACGAGCTAGCGTTTGAAAAGCTAAAAGTACTCATAACATCCGACCCAATTTTAATATACCCTAACTTCGAAAAACCATTTTCATTAACTACAGACGCGAGTAATATGGCAATAGGGGCCGTCCTTTCGCAAGAGCATAAGCCTATATGCTATGCAAGTAGAACTCTCAACGAGCATGAGTTAAATTATTCAACGATTGAAAAAGAATTATTAGCAATCGTTTGGGCCACTAAATACTTTAGGTCCTATCTCTTTGGTCGACAATTTCAAATCCTTAGTGATCACAGACCACTCGTCTGGTTAAATAATATGAAAGAACCTAACATGAAATTACAAAGGTGGAAGATCAAGCTAAATGAGTTTGATTTCCAAATTAAATACGTCCCAGGAAAAGAAAATTATGTGGCAGATGCTCTGTCCAGAATTCAATTAAACGAAAACTTCTTAGGCGAAGATACAATTAGCACAAGAGCAACAATACATAGTGCTCAAGAAGACAACAGTAACCATTTACAAATCACAGAAAGACCACTTAATTATTATAATCGACAAATAGAATTTGAAAAAGGAACCGAGAACGAAACAAAAGTTACGAATTACTTTCACAAAACCAACATAAAAATTACGTACAAAGACATGACTAATACGCATGCCAAAGAATTAATAAAAGAATACTTATGCACAAAGAAAAGTGTGCTATACTTCCACAACGAAGCAGATTTTCCAATTTTTCAAGAAGCCTACTTAGAAATAATAAGTCCGAATAATTCAACAAAGGCAATGAAAACTAGTACAAAATTAATAGACCTTCAAACATACGCAGAATTCAAAGAATTAATATTAAAAAAGCACAAAGAATTATTACATCCAGGAATTGAAAAAACTATCAATTGGTTCAAAGAAACCCACTATTTCCCAGATTATCAAAATCTAATTCAAAATCTAATAAATGAATGTGAGATTTGCAACATCGCAAAAACAGAACACAGAGATACAAAATTAACTTTCGAAATAACTCCGGAAATCGCTAATATCCGAGAAAAATATGTAATGGATTTTTACATAGTAGGAGATAAACAATTTTTATCTTGCATTGATATCTATTCAAAATTTGCATCATTAATAGAAATAAAAAGTAGAGACTGGCTAGAAACCAAACGAGCTATATTACAAGTGTTCAACCAAATGGGTAAACCCATCGAAATAAAGGCAGACAAAGACTCAGCTTTTATGTGCACAGCTTTACAATTATGGCTAAAATCAGAAGCAGTAAATATTAATATAACCACTAGTAAAAACGGTATATCCGACGTAGAACGATTTCATAAGACAGTTAACGAAAAACTAAGAATCATTAACAGCGACTCAGACGTCGAAAATAAACTTACAAAATTTGAAACTATACTCTACACGTACAATCATAAAACAAAGCACAAAACGACTAACAGAACACCAGCGGACATATTCATATATGCAGG